AGTCTAAGCAAAGGTGGCACTCAGTCAGTCAAGCAAAGGTGGCACTCGTCAGTCAAGCAAAGGTGGCACTCAGTCAGTCAAGCAAAGGTGGCACTCAGTCAGTCAGCAAGTGTGGACTCAGTCAGTCAAGCAAGTGTGGCACTCAGTCAGTCAAGCAAGTGTGCACTCAGTCAGTCAAGCAAGTGTGGCACTCAGTCAGTCAAGCAAAGGTGGCACTCAGTCAGTCAAGCAAAGGTGGCACTCAGTCAGTTAAGCAAAGGTGGCACTCAGTCAGTCAAGCAAAGGAGGTGGGTAGGGATTGTTATGTAAAATTCAAAGTGTATAATAGGATGTAAGAAGTATAACTCGGGGATAGTATTATTATTATTATTATTAAAGATTCGCCGGTATTCTCCCGGCCCGGGCCTCTTCCAAGTGGTGGCCCGGCCTTGGCTCCCTCTTTAGGGAGTGTCTGAGACCTAAGTCTCCCATGGGAGGAAGCACAAGTACCTCCTCATCTTTGGGACAACTGTCCCCAGGCCTAGCCACAAGCTAGGCCTCTCTGGTCTGCCATCCCCGCCCCAAGGGAGCTAATGGGAATGACAGTCTTGTGAGCTACAAGCTCACAAAGGACTGGTCATGGTGTCGATGTCTGGGATAGTAATATTGGAATGGGGGTTAAGTTTGTTAAATTCCGTGTGGTAAGCATGTTGAAAATATTATACGAATGTAGGAGATACTAAAGGTTTACTGTATAACAAAGTTGGTTATCAGTATCAGTATATTGGAATGTGATTGCAATAAAAGAAATACTGTTAAAAATGTGAAGGAACATGTTTGTTTAAGAATATAATGTTTGAATTTAGGTAATATTTATGATCTGTAATCTGTTGGTTTTAAATAAAATATAAGAAAAATATAACAAAGTCAAATAATAATATAAAGCAATATATGTACGGTTTAGCTAATATCGCAAATATAAGCAATATAAAATTATATGAACAGGTAATATACATTATATATATTGTGACCCATTCAGGGGTCGCAACAACTGTCCACACCTGACAACACTGCCCGCCCTGACAACACTGTCCACTCTGACAATATTGTCCACCCTGACAACACTGTCACTCACTTTGTCCCCTGACAACACTGTCCACTCCGACAACACTGTCCATCCTGACAACACTATCACACCTGACAACACTGTCCACCCTGACAACACTATCCACCCCGACAACACTGTCCAACCGACAGCACTGTTCACTCTCACAACACTGTCCACCCTGACAACACTGTTCACCCTGACAACACTGTCCATCCTGACAACACTATCCACCCTGACAACTGTTATGCAGGGTTCTGCGTAACATCGTAATGTACATATAGTGGAGAAGTGTGCCATAATAGTTTGAATGTTATAATTGTAGAGAATAATTTTATAATTCATAATGTGCATTTGAGGGCACTGTAAAGTACTCTAACTGTAATTATAAAGAAATCCTGCTAGGGATTTATTTTCCAAGGGTGTTTGGGTACGCGGGATAAGAGTGGCTTGGGGGAGTCACGTGGGGTCAGCATGGTGTGGAGGCTGGCGTCGGAGATCCTGTGTATTTATGCTAAGTTTGTAGTTGTGTGCTCCTTTTGTTTAGCTAACCCAAGCCATAGGCTCTTCTATGGCTTACCTGTATGTTCACCCAGGCTCTGACATGGTCAGGGTGCTGTGGGAGGAGTGAGGAAATAAAAAATGGGGTTTGCAGTGGAGTAGTGACGCCTGGCCTGACTAGGCCTAGTGGTTATGGTGCCTGGACCTCCAGCCAGCTGTTTCTTGTGTACCCTCATTTGGGCGTTTAGGATTAAGGTGTTTCTAGAGTGTGTTTATAGTGTTATGTTGAATAAATAGATATATTTCCTAACTGGGATTTTTGCCTAACCCTCTGTTAACCAACCAATTGAAGTAACACGTACTGGTTTAGCGCTTTCTGTTTTGATTGGAATAGCCCTGGGTGGCCTGTTTATGCTTGTGATGTGTGTAACTTTTACCTTGGCCCTTAGCCAAGGCACTAGCCCCCAGCTATCCCACATTTCTGCATAACAACAACACTGTCCAACCCGACAGCACTGTTCACTCTCACAACACTGTCCACCCTGACAACACTGTCCACCCTGACAACACTGTCCAACCTGACAACACTGTCCTCAAACCTGACCGACAACACTGTCCACCCTGAAAACAGTGTCCAACCTGACAACAATGTCCACTCTGACAACACTGTCCGCCCTGACAACACTGTCCACCCTGACAACACTGTCCACCCTGACAACACTGTCCACCATGACAACACTGTCCCCTGACAACACTGTCCACCCTGACAACACTGTCCACCCTGACAACACTGTCCACCCTGACAACACTGTCCACCCTGACAACACTGTCCACCTGACAACACTGTCCACCCTGAAAACACTGTCCACCCTGACAACACTGTCCACTATGACAACACTGTCCACCCTGACAACACTGTCCACCCTGACAACACTGTCCACCCTGACAACACTGTCCACCCTGACAACACTGTCCGCCCTGAGAACACTATTCACCCTGATAACACTATCCACCCTGACAACACTGTCCACCTAGACAACACTGTCCACCCCGGCAACACTGTCCACCCTGACAACACTGTTCACCCCGGCAACACTGTCCACCCTGACAACACTGTCCACCCCGACAATACTGTCAAACCTGACAACATTATCCACCCTGACAACACTGTCCACTCTGACGCCACTGTCCACCCTGACAACACTGTCCACCCTGACAACAGTAACCACCCTGTCACCACTGTCCGCCTTGGCAATACTGTCCACTCTGACAATATTGAGCATCATGACAACACTGTTCAGCCTGACAACACTGTCCATTCCGACAGCACTGTCCACCCTGACAACATTATCCACCCTGACAGCACTGTCCACCCTGAAAACACTCTCCACCCTGACAACACTGTTCACTCTGACAACACTGTCCGCCCTGACAACACTGTCCACCCTGACAACACAGTCCACCCAGACAACATTCTCCACCCTGACAACACTTTCCACCCTGACAACACTGCCCACCCTGACAACACTGTTCACCCAGACAACACTGTCCAATTTGACAAGATTGTCCACTTTGACAACACTGTCCACTCTCACAACACTGTCCACTCTCACAACACTGTCCACCCTGACAACACTATCCACTCTGACAACGCTATCCACCCTGACAACACTGTCCACCCTGAAAACATTATCCACCCTAAAAACACCGTCCACACTGCCCAAACACTGTCCTCACTGACATCCTTATCCACCTGAACAACCCCTGTACACCCTGACAACATTGTCCACCCTGAAAACGCTATTCCACCCTGACAAAATGTTCACCCTGACAACACTGTCCACTCCGACAACACTGTCCACCCTGACAACACTGTCCACCCTGACAAAACTGTCCACCCTGACAACACTATCACCCTGACAACATGCCCGCTCTGACAACACTGTCATCTGACAATGTTGTCCACCTTGACAACACTGTCCCCTGAAACACTGTCCACTCCACAACACTGTTCACTCTGACAACACTGTCCACCCTGACAACACTGTCCACTCTGACAATGTATCCACCCTGACAACACTCTCACCCTGACAACATTATCCACCACCTCACTTAAAACCGTCCACCCTGACAACACTGTCCTCCCTGACAACCTATCCACCCTGACAACACTGTAACCTGACAACATGTCACCCTTGAAAACGCTGTCCACCTGACAAACTGTCCACCTCAACAACACTGTCCACAATGACAATACTGTCCACCATGACAACACTGTTCACCCTGACAACACTGTCCACCCTGACAACACTGTCCACCCTGACAACACTGTCCACCCTGACAACACTGTCCACCCTGACAACACTGTCCACCCTGACAACACTGCCCCCTGACAACACTGTCCACCCGACAACACTGTCCACCCTGACAACACTGTCCACCCTGACAACACTGTCCACCCTGACAACACTATCCACCCTGACAACACTGATACATCATAAGTCCTCATCACCACTGTATTGCTACACTAAACTGTCACAATCGCAACTGCAATGATACACCAAACTGTTACTCTCACCGCTGTAGTGATTCATTGTACTGTGACTATCACCACTGTAGTGATACACCATACTATCACCATCACCACTATAGTGATGCACCATACATTCACCATCACCACTGTAGAGGTTCATCATACTGTCACCATCACTTCTGAAGAGATACACTGTAGAATCGCAGTCACCGATGTAGTGATATACCACACTGTCACCATCTCCACTGTAATGATACACATTACTGTCGCCATCACTACTGTAGTGATTCACCATTTTGTCACCATCAACAATATAGTTGTACACCGTAGTCACCATCTCCACTGTACTGATACACCATACTGTCAATATCACCGCTGTATTGTTACACCATACAGTCACCATCACCACTGTGTATCACTACTGTGGTGATGGTGACATCATTGGCAATGGTGTATCACTACATTGGTAATGGTGACAGTATTGCGTATCACTACAGTAGAGATGGAGAAAATATTGTGTATCACTACGGTGATGATGGACCCGTATGGTGTATCACTACAGTGATGATGACAGTATGGTGTATCACTACAGATGTGAGGGTGTGACAGTATAGTCCATCACTTCAGTGGTGATGATGACAGTATGGTGTATCACTACAGTGGTGAGGGTGACAGTATGATGCATAACAAGAGCAGTGATGGTGAAGGAATGAAATTTATCACTAAAGTAGTGATGGTGACAGTGGTGATGGTGACAGTATTGTGTATCACTAGAGTAGTGATGGTGACAGTATTGTGTATCATTCCTCTCTCAACCCTTGAGTGGAGAGGACGTGTGCTGCTGCTGCCCCCTGGAGTTGTCTGGTGGCAGTTTATTTTCACAACATGGCGCAGGCTAGCCGGCATGGTATCAACACAGTCTGCATTGAATTAACCAGTGGAGCTGTAACAGGGCCATCAATGGAGTTACTTCTGCCTACAATAATCAGTGATACCTACGGAATAGCCAATGAGGAGATTTGTGGACTTGCACTGATCGGTACGAAGAGGACTTTTGTAAAATTCAGCTCGGCGAATGTGCATGAGGCAGTGGTGAATAAGTTTCAGGAAGTGGTCATACCAGTTAATCATGCTGTGACGGTGAGGTTGCATGATGTATCAAGCTATAACACATGGGTTAAGATCAGGAATGTGCAGTTCGAGGGCAGATGCATCTGACATCCGGTTCGCTATGTGTAAATACGGCAGAATACATACGGTCACTGCAGGAAGGTGGTCAGCCGGCCCATATATGGGGATACCTGAGGTATGTACTCTGTCAAGATGACGCTCAGACATCCTATTCCATCGTACGTGGTGATGGAAGATTCAGAACTCAGGTATTTGTGACATACGCTGGGCAGCGATGCACATGTCATTTGTGCAGGTCGTATGATCACCTGGCTGCACAATTTGATAGACGACATAGTGATAAGGACCAGCAGCAATGACGTGATGTGGAGGAAAGGAGAGAGGATCAAGATCAGCCATATTCGACACTGCCTCAGCAGAGTTTGACATGGAGTGAGGAGGTTGAGAGGGCCAAAGAAAAGGAGACGGCAGGGGGATGACATCACTTCTTTGGACGTTGTACAAGTGCTGGATGAGGTCATCTTGGAAGCGAATGGCAGCGATGCGGGAAACGTCGATAGTTTTCGACGTTTGGGAAACATTTTGGCAATGAGCGTCCTTGCCAGGATGTTGGTACAGACCTGGATCTTGGGTCTGCAGTTGAGGAGGGCTGTGATGCCGCTCGGCCTGGGGGTTTTGTGTAAGGATCCCCCTTTTGGTGAGAACTGTGGAGGTGGAGGTTCATCATGGCACTGCGCGGGGGGACTTTAAAGCAGGTCGAGGGAATAAAAGCAAAACCCCGCCATTTTGGCAATCTTTTTTTGATTCGAGGGACGTGCTTACCCCCGCCAACCCGGGGGGCCCGGGGAAAGGGAAAAATGGGGGATGCCTGCAGAGACGTTCAAGGGGCACTCGGGGCGGGGTTGGGGTTAAGGTCCCCGGAAAAGAGGGGGAGGGGAAAAAGGGTTGGGCAACAAAACCGATCAGGGGATAAGTCGGTAGTGTAAAGGGGAAAAACCCCTTTGTCGGTTTTAAGTGCCTAAAAATTTAAACACCCAATGGCTTGGGGACAAGGGGAAAGTTTTGAGTGGTTTAGGGAATATTTGGGTTTGCCTTCATGGTGTTGACATAGTTTTCGCGGGATTACAATTTAGCAGGATTATGAGTGAAGGTGGATGGATATAATGGCATGTTGGGATGCAGTCAGATTGAAAGGAGGTGGGGCCCTTTTTTGGTGAAAGAAACTACCCCAAATTGGTTGTCAGGATTGTGGGGGGGGGGAAGGAGAGGGTGATTGGGTTGGATGGGTTAAGGGGGCGGTACAGATGACGTTGGGGGGGTATTTTTGTTTTTTGGGGCCCGGGCCTGGGGGTTTGGTGTAGGTTTAAAGAATAAATTCGTGAGGGACTTTTGGGTATATTTTTTTGCGGGGATTGCCGGGGGTTGCTTTGATAGGAGGTCAAAGAACTGTGAAAATAAGGGGAAAGGGGAATGTTAAACCGAGGGGGGAGGGCATTGTTTGAAAATTTTGGGGGAAAAATTTGTTACCCGGGGGTTTAGGATTGATCAAAGGTTGGGGGAGGGGGGGGTGGGGAGCAACATTTATTAAGATGGGTATGCGGACTGGCTGGGATCGATTGTACGGCCCAGGACAGTAGAAAAAATTTGTGTGAGAGAAAGGGAAATGTGGGTATTTTCTGATAAAGGGGTGTTTTGGGTGGAATTGGTTGGGGGGGGGTTCCCAAGAAAGGTGAAAGGGGGTTTTGGGAAGCGGGAATTTTAAAGTTTACTGCAGGAAAAAGGGGGGGCCCCGCCCAGTCTTTTGGGGTTCAATTGGGGGGAAGGAGTTGGTGGCGTAGGCTCCGGGGGAAAAATTTTTGATCGGGTTATTTGGTGGGAATTTTGGGGGGCAAATCTCGTATTAGGGAATTTTATATTCGTAGGGGAGTAAAATATAAAAGGTTAAAGTATGGGTACCAATTTATCTTGGGGGGCATTTTTGGGGAGCTTGCTACGAGCTGGGGTGCTAGTTATCCAGTGGACGATATTGAGGTTTTTAAAGGAGCTTTATTTGGGGATTTGCAAAATGAAAGATTTTTGTGGTGCTGATTTTTGGGGTGGGGCGGGAAGAGGTTTTTTGGGGGTGAAGGCCTGTTGAGGCGACCGCGTAAGAAAAGAGTGGCTACAGAGATGAGGGGAATTAACTGTTCAGGGTGGGGATGGAAGGGTATAGGGAGGGGAAAGGGTATTAGTGACGACTGAGGGTATGAGTGGATATTTAAATGATGGTTTAGGTAACAACAAAAAACGTAGGAAATTCGAGATGCAGTTTTAAAAGGGAAATGGGAGGCTTTGTGCAAGGGAGTTTACGGTACAGATAGGGTAACATTAAAAGGGCCCGATCATGGAAAGTGAGTTTTTTTTTTGTCTGGTGCAAGTTTAGGAAGGGTTGGGTGTAGATGGGTTCCTAATGTTTTTTTTATTTTAAAGGAATTTGGGGAAGTATTGAGGGGGTTTTTTAAAGTTAGGTTATTCATTGTAAAAAAAGGATGTGGGGAAAAGGGGTTTGAGCAAAAAAGGACTGCTGTCGTGGATTTTTTCCCAAAAGGTGGAAAAGACTACGGTAGGGAAATTACCGAGAAATATCCCCTTTGTGTGGTGATTATAAGTTATTTGCAAAGGATTTGAGGGAATAGATTTAAAACATGTGATATTTTAAAATTTAATTGACAGGGGGAAAAATTTTGGGGTGGGGGGTTTAGGTCGATGTATAAAGGGCATGGAGTTTTTTAGAAGTTTTTATAGAAGAGGGGGGAGTTGGGGGGTGGGGGGGGGGGGGTGTTTTTTTGGGCATTGGAGTGGGGCCCTTAAAAGATAGGTAGAGAGGGTTTGTGTTTGGGGGTTTTCATGCGTTGGCGGGATTCGGGAGGGAAATTATATCTTGGGGCGAAAACATTGTTTCAAGGAGCATCTATGGAGTACAGGTTAAAGAAAGGCTAGGTTTTTAAATTCATATGGGAAGGGGGTTTTTGACAGGGGGTGCCTCCCCGAGGGAAATATTTGTTTGCGTTTCCTCCAGAAACCCTTTTATAGGGCTTTTTTTGGGGGAGTTTATCGCAGGGAGGGGTTGTATGAACAAGAGGGAGGGGGGGGGGTATTGTGGGGTTTTTTGGAAACAAAGGGCTGTTTTTGTGAGGGGGTGAGAGGGATTTACACATGGTAGGAAAGGTGGGAGATGTGTTTGGTGAGGTTATGGGATGGAAAATTTAAGGGGGCCCAAAATCCCAAGTATAGGGGCCCAGGCAATTTGCGCAAATAAGGTGGGATTTTAGAGGGGCGGGGAATGTAGAGGGCGGGGGGTGTGGTGGAATCAGCCCATTGATTTGTGGGGTAGTGTACGCTAGGAATGATAGGGGTTTGGGAAAAGGCAAATTCGATGCCATCACGGATTTTAAAAAATTTGGGGAGTTTGGGACGGCCGCCAAAAACGTTGATCAGGGGGGTTATGTGACGAAAAGTTTCCCGGTTTTATAGCAAGCTATGGAAAGTGGGGGGCAATATAAACCCTTTGAGGCGGCGAGAGGGTTGGGAAAGGTTTTGCAACATTAGATTTTCGATTTAAAATGGGGATCGGGTTGTGATTGGCCAAGGGAGAGGGGTGGGTGTTTCTTCACGTTACCCGGGGGGCGGGCCCGGGGTTAACCCCCTTTTTAAAGCAAAATGAGGAGTGTGTATTAAAATGCGGCTATTTGGAGAGGGGGGGGCGGAAGAGGGGTGTAGAAAGGGTGCATATGGAATTTCAAAGATGGTGGGGGGTAGGGGTTTTAAAGATTGGGAGGCCCAAGTTGCGGGGGTTTTTAAAGGCGGGGGGAGGGGGTCCGGCTCGCTTCAAATTGAGGGTTCATGAGGGGGTGGGGGGGTGGGTCTTTTGGTGGCGGCAGTTGAGGGGGGATACCCATTTTATGGTGGGGAAATATCCCGGAAAAGTTTACGGGGGAATTTTGGTTTTAAACCAGGTGTTTGGGGGGTAATGTTTAGGGGTTTTTACCCCTGAAACTTGCCCCCCTGGTGTTGGGTTATTTAAAAGGGAAATAAGGGGGGATGGGGTTAGTGCAAAGCGTTGTGGATGTTTGGAGACTATTTTTATGTCGTGTTTTTTTTGTAATTGTTTAGGGAAGCTGTGGGGGGGTTAGGTTAGGTAGGGTGTTATGTTAGGGGTGGGGGGAAAAGGGTTTTCAGGTTGGGTTTAAAGGGTGTTAAGTTTAGATATTGGTGGGGGATGGAGTCAGATGGGGGTAAATGCGGGGGGGTATGTGGGGTTTCTGATTTTATTTATACGTCTTGGGCCATGGGGAGGTGGGTTGTGGGGAGGGGGGGGTGGGGAGGGGGGGGTGTGAGGGAGGTGGGTGTGAGGGAGGTGGGTTTGTGAGGGAGGTGGGTGTGAGGGAAATTGGGGGGTGGATGAAAGAATAAAGGGTTAGCGGCCACCAAATTTTAGAAATTTAAATGTTTACAATAGGGTCTTTATAGGGGAAAAAGGTGGGGACGCATTTTCTGAGGGAAAACGGAGTTTTAGGTTTAAGGGTTTTTTCAAGGGTTTAAGGTAAAGTAAAGGGGTAACGGCGGGGTAGTTTCTTGAAATGGGGGATGTGTGGATGGCTTTTAGGGGTGGGGTGGGTTTGATTTTTTGAAAACTTTTTGATTTTCCGGGTGCGATGTGGTGGGGGGTGGTGGTATTAAAACATTGTGTTTCCTTTTTTGTTTTTGAAGGTTTTTGGTAGTACTTTTATGTTGTGTATTTGGAGCACTACGTCAAATTTTTTGTATATAAGGTGAGTGGAAGGGTAGAATATTACAGTTTTTGTTTTGTGAGAGAAGGGACTGTTCGTTATTGTGAGTTTACCTGGAGTTTACCTGGAGAGAGTTCGG